CATTATTCCTAGTATCAGAGAGTGGATTTGATACCTTCTCAAACGTTTCGCCGGCATCGTAATCGGTATCATTAGTAAGTTTTACCATTCTCTGCACTAAGCTACGAACTCGTCAAAAAGACAAGTGAAGTCAATCCCTCGACAGACGTTTTGCCGAAAACGGTACACTATCGGTCCTCTTTCTATCAGTCATAATTGAAACTGAGAATATCGTGTAGAGATAAGGCTAGGTGGAATTCACTGGCAGTATGAGGTCATTATGGCAAATTTTAACTACGAGCCGTTTATAATCTTCACCATGTCTACTATAGAGTTGTTTGACCTTGTATCTCGTAGTTGAGACTCCCTTTCACTTTATTTGACGTACTGTATTGTACTAGATTTATGTTCTCTAAAGAAACCGCTTAAATGTTACTAAGAATACCTCTCATTTAAATATTTTTATTTTTAAATTCATACTTTTCCAGTAAAATGTTCCACTCATGAAAATCAAATAGACGGACACTTTATTTTATTTGATGTTTTTTATAGGCTACTTATGCATATATTTTTCTTAAAAAATTAGAATTGTTCGTGATTTCTCCAGCTGGTGAGTGGATGTCTCGTTTGCCAGTAGCAGTTCGCCACGCTCGTATGCTTCTATTTGCCAACCAGGTTGGACTTATGCCTTACGCTGTTATTTTGGTCGCTGCACTTTCTGTGCCTGATCTTCTACTTCCCACCCCAAACTTACATTCATTGGAATCTGATGCACTAATTTTGGAGGGCAATAATGATAAACTCTCTGAAGTACTCTCAGGGATAGAGAAGGAGCGTGTCAATTTCCAGAACCAATTTATCAAGAACGTGAGAGTTTTAATTTATCTAAATTTTTATTCCTTTTTATTCCTCTATATCTTTTTCCCTTTAATCTTACAATAAGCATAGATTAATGGCTTTGTCGCTTACTTTTATATATCTGATTATCAACCAGAATAGCTATATTTAATGTGTATCTTTTCCTTGCGCTGATTGAGCTACTGTTTAATCCATTTTATGATTACTGGACTAGATACATTTGGAAAATTTTAATGTATCTAATGTTTATTTTTATGTTTAAATAACCTTGTTAACTTGACTATTGCTAGCCCTTTTAATTAGATGTCGTCAATTTTAATTTAATTAACAGACAATTAAACAAATAATTAAATTTATAATTTATCGTCATGCTATTAATACTAACATACTTGATTTGGCTTTTTTAATTACATTCAAACTTGTTGGGACTCATTTTATGTGAAAGTGTTTGATAAACAGATTCTTAGATCGATCTCACCAAAACACACAGCTGCTTGCCGTTGATCTGCAGTCATTTGATTTTATTCTGACGCGACGGTTGATGCAGTTCACAAGGCATCCTCATTTCGAGTGAAAATGTGCTAAAATTTTTCCCGTCAGATGACAGGCAGTCAAATGTGAAACTCATTCTGCAGCCGCTTTAACTTAATACTAAGTCACGAAAAGTAAACAGCTTCTGACAGTGTATATTCTCAACTAAATATGAAAAAATATATGGATATGGAATTTTTTGGGCTAATACTACCCAATACTAAGAAAATCATCTTAGCAGGTCAATATTATTAGTCTTGCATTCCATATCTATCTATACATATATTTTTTCACATTTAATTGGGACTATATAGCCTGGATAAGCTGGTTAATCTTCGTAGGTTAATATTAACTTGAAGCTGTTGTTTCTCTTATATTGTATTCTTGTTTGACGTTTCGAATTATCTATTTATTTGATAACTGGATCAGGTATCGAATGTTTGGTTAAAACTAGACCTAAGGGACACACTATAATTGTTCGATCTAATTATAATCAAAACATTGCTAGAACAAGCCCTTTCCCAGGTTTTGAACGATGAGGATTTTATAAATATACAAGATAAGTTGAAGATGTGAAGACCAAGATGTTGTGGCCTCGGGTATGGTCGCAGTCTCCTTTCGACTTATAG